CTTGGCTGTTAGCAGCCGTCGCCGTGATGCGCTCCGCCCGAGCCGCCCGGGCTTCCTGTGATCCGAGCCACGGCCATGGCAAGGGGGGCATGTGAGTCATAATCAAAACCCGGTACTAAAATGATCTACCCAGAACCACGTAAAGAAGTAAGAAGCCGGATGTCCGCAGCTATTTCTGGTTGGGATTGTCCCTTGCTAATCTTCATCTACCCGGGTTTTGATTGTGGCTCATGTCTGGGTCCCTGCCTGGAGAAGCTGCGCAAAGCCCTCCTCCCTCTCGGTCTTTGCCTGCAAGCTGAGGATCACAGTGATGGAATGTAAGGGTACAAAGTTGTTCCTGTCAAGAAGAAACCTTCGAGGCTGGTGTTTGGTGAATTCCAATTCTTATTTACTTGAAATTTTGAAATTCCAAGTACTCACCAATGATCACTGGCGCTTTAGCGTGGGAAAAGGTGATCACCTTTTTGTGACCAAATGACCAAATGAACGACAAAATGTGGAGGAAGAACAAAAAAGGTCAAAAAGGTCGGCAGCCCAGTTTTGGACCCATAAATACAACGTTTAACCTGTTGTGACCTTGATAAAATATGGGCCAAAACAGGAAAATCTAAAAGATGGAATGTTCGCCCAAACTGAAAAGGGTGACTAAGGCCAACCTTCCCATGGCTGATACTTCTCAAAACCAATCAATGCAATAGGACCAAACGAGCACCTCTAACCTCTCCAGAGCCCCGAAACACCCACGGTCAGGAGTAAGCCCACATGAGTCATACCCAGAACCATGTCAAGGCGGCTGCACCCATTTCTGGCCGGGTTTGTCCCCCACATTGCCGGGCTTTGATTGTGGCGCACATGAGCCAGCCATGGTGAATATTCCTTGTTTCCCTACTGGATGGGGGACACTTGAACAGCAACTGCGCAATTTCTTGGCACTGTCCTTTTCTCTTCTGAACCACAGAGCTTTGGATATTAGCCGAACCTCACCGGGTGTGAAACCAAATCCAAGGTAACTTGCTGAAGCCTATGATGAGCCCCTAAAAGGGGATACGATGACCCAACCGAAGCCGTTTCTTTACAGCCCTTACACGTATGGCCTTCCGGCGCCTACCTGGACCCTCAAACTGCCCATAGCCCCAAGCTGTCCTTGTCCGCAGCAGCAGTGCCTAAGTCCAGTCGTAACCCTAGCATGGTGGTGGTAGTGGTGGTGGTACCACTTGGGTGGTTTTTGGACCAAAGCAGACTACCATGAACAAGTGAGCGTTCCCTCTGCGAAGCTCTCAATACAGTATCATGAGAGAAAAAACGATTCACATTCCTTTTCAAAGAGTTCTCACACGCTTTTTTCCCACCGGAGGTATTTGCCATTACCCTGAAGAGCCAGGGCTGGTCGAAACGCACCTTCAAAAAGAGGGGAGTTGGAGTAGGGGGTTTGGGTTTCCTGCGTGTCCTCCACGCCCGTCCCAAACAGTAGAAAGACCAGGAATTGGGGAAGTGCGTATCAGCTTGCGCTTCTAGAACTCAAGCGGCAAGCCTTTGCTCGCCGAAGAGGTCCGTGGGCCTTTCTTGAAAGTCAAACTACAGTAGCACAAGTCATTGCCCCTAAAGATAAAAAGGTTAACCCTCCTTTGGGAAACTTGTAAGTGAGTTAAAGCCTAGGATGCTAACAACTTACTTGCTTGGCCGAAGACCGAGCCATGAAGCAGCCAGGTCTGATCCTTCCAACTTGCCCAGACTGAGGTCAACTTATTTGGGGAGCACGGAAGCCATTGACCATGATGGAAACGCAGACGCGCACACTTTTCAGACGCACGCGGAGCAGCCGAACGGTTCCTTGCCCCCTGCCGAGGTGTGACCTCATCCATGAACTAGGAGGGTTCACACACACAGCCGGTCCTTGAAGAGAAAGAACGAAAAGGCAACGGGCATTGTAGGACTTTGCGAAAGGTTTGGAGTTGCCTTCGGGCCTCACAGGTTTGACGGGCTCGATGGGCCTGGCGAGCGCGACGGGCTCAACCTACTTAACAGGCTCGACGGGCCTGACGGGCTCCACATGCTGGGCGGCGATCACAGAAAGATAGATCAATTGGTAGACAAGCAGATAGATACATAGATACATAGATAGACAGATAGGTGGTTAGATGGATAGAGAAGACAGACACAGATAGATGAAATTGATATAGATCGGTAGAAGACAGAGGCGGGCAGAAAGAAAGATGTACATATAGGTGGATAGACAGATGTAAGACGTAGATAAATGCAGAAGGACGGATAGAGAGACCGAGAGATAGAGAGAGATTGACCGAGTAGATTCATTACATTAGAACAGATAAATATAGACAGATAGACAAATTGACTAGACTAGATGAGGTCAGAACAGAATAGATTAAGCAAACTGGTTGGTACATGTACAGATGCGTAGATGGACAGACAAATAGACAGACAAACAAATAGACAGGTAGATGAATAGATGCACAAAGAAGCGCGTTGATAGAAACATGAACAGGCCACTAGGGCAAGTAAATTGATAGGCAGGGGCACACGCACAGAACGGTAGCTTTGGGCAAGTAATCTACATGCGGGAGCTGGTTGGATTTGGCTTCTGGGCTCGTGGGCGCGGACAGGGCTGTGCCGGTGAGATTCCCCGTGTGCATTTTAAGGCACCAAAAGCTCCGTGCCTGCCTGCCGTCGTCACCCAACAGCACCTCGCTTGCTGGCCTTGACGGGCCAGGGCCTACGGGCCTGACGGGCCCCGAACAGTGAACGCACAGTGGCCATGGTTTGCCAGCGCTGTCGAACTTCATGGACACGTAGCTTGCGGGCGAAGGCCTTGTAAGCAGGACGAGCCTTGGGATGAGTTTCTTCGGTGCGGAGAATGGCATCCATCTCGGCTGTCCGTTCAGGAGTGTCAAGGAGGGGAGAAGGATGCCGGAAGTGGTGCCACAGATCCAGGCTTCGCCGATGCGATGGTTCACATTGCTCGCGTGCGCCTTGCGACTGGGCGAGGATGAAGGAGAAGAGTATTCGCAGAGGACTCCCAGTTGTTGGTACGACAGTTGCAGTTGGAGAGCACGAGAATCGGGTTCATGTGTGCGAGGTCTCCATGGAAGTCAGCCAGAGTTGTTGTAGCGTGGTAGTAGCCGAAGTCGAAGGAGGCAGTGGCGATGGTGTAGGGCGGGGCAAAGGCGACATTCGCGTCATAGAGGTTCGGGAGGGTGATGTAGAGAGTTGTTAAGAAAGATTCAAACACGGGGCAAAAAACCCGTTCGCCCCGTGATTGAAACTTTCCCGAAAGTAGGCGCGGGCTCGGAGAAAGTAGGGAAGGACAAGCCCGGAACAGAAACAAAGCAAATGACTCAAGCCTGGGAAAGGACTTTTGGAAGAGCTCCAGTGCAGGATGCTTGCGACAGGAAAGTTTCAATCACGGGGCAAAAAACATTTTGGGCCCCAAAAGCACCGTTCGCCTCGTTGAACCTTTCCCGAAAGCAGGCGGCTCGGAGAAAGAGGAAATCGGAAAGAAAGCGAGTTAAAGAAGCACATGAAAAGGGCCTCCCGCATGAGCGGGTTTGATGCGACTACACCAATTGCCCCTGACGTGCAGGCCTGGAAAAAAGACTCTATCGGCAGAGCTCTAAATTCATGGAATGCCCGGGGGGCCTATGGGGGGGGGGCCTACTTCCTTTATCCATAAGGGTTGGATAACCTTGGTTTAAGGCCCCTATGCTTATCCGTAAATCATGCTCAGTTTTTCCCGGCCCCGGCTCAAGCCATGGCCGAGCACTTTGAACTTCTTGGGGAGCGCCAGGGCCTTATTCAGGCCTTTTACGAACATCTCAAACAAAATCCTGGCTCTATTGAACTTGCATTGCTAGGTTCAATCGCTTTCGATGAAGAAAACTTGAACTTGTGGATCCTGAAGGACCAGGGAGATGTCACCTGTCTCAATTTGCGGTGGACCGCATTAGCCCGCAGGACCGCCAGTGTGAATGGAGCCTCTCCAGGTTTCTGCAGTTGCTCTATGCGAGAAACAGCGAACGCAACGATGGGGACAGGCGAAAGCACCTCAAAAAGCGATTCCTGGCAAAAGGGAACATGGAACAAGTTGCAGAACAACACGCGATGCTATGGCCGGGGATTGCAGCCACTCTTTTTGCATTTAGTTTGGACCCTTGGATGTCGTGCAACCAATCTGCTTTTTTGGGTTGTTTGTTCACTTGACGCCTCTGGGTCCCAGCCCTAGGTACCTCAGCAATTGCCAGTCCGGAGGGATGGCAAGGAGGAACACGTGGTGATGTTGGAACGTACCCTGCCAACCTCAATGCTTATGGCCACTTTGGCTTTGCACTTGTCATCCCCTATTAAGTGGAATGAAGTCACGGAAGCTGCCCAAGATTTTCTACGGACATTGCTGTGCAAGATTCTTTTGGATTCATCACCTTTGAGATTGGCAGTTGTGAACATGACAAACTTTCACGCGAGCCCGGTGGAAGTATGTCAAGATGGCACATTTTCTGGCCACTTCTTGTGGGGAGATGGCAGCCCTGCATCCCAAAGTCTTCAGCACGAATGGCGACGTCTGCTTGAGCTTCGGCTGAGCTTTGAGCGCCCGTCCGTGCTTGTTAGTAAACAGGTAGCCAACAGAAACTGTTTTGCTGTTGTCTGTCAGGATTGCCCCGACAATGCCCTGGTTCGATCCCCTTCTCACACCCCGGCTGTAGCAGATTTGATCTGCGCTGCACTCAGCCCGTTTCTAGGCCGCACATAGCGAGAGAACTAGATTGATTGCGCTTCTGCTGGCTAGCCAGCCAAGGTCTCATCAAGAATTGCGGGGGCTGGCCCCTGTCGCACGGAGTTTGCTGGCGCAGTTGGCCAAGCACATAGCCGCTTGATCGAGCAATTGACTTGAGAGGGCGCGCAATACGCCGTGCGCCACAACCAAGGATGAAAACACAGCACGGCTGTGCAGTGAGACGGAGACGTCGGCCCGCTTCCCTCAAAGCCGA